AAAGCTTATTTATTCAGCTTCAGATGATGCATAAATCTCAATTTCCAAAAATGAACCCTTATGACTGGTTTTGTGCTCCAGGGTCACAAATGAGCGTGATGTTTTGTTTGTGAATGGTGTGAGTGCTCCAGAAGACTGTAAGCAGCACGTGTGACACTGTTTTCAGTTCTGCAGCATGCTGGAGCAGTGTTTGATGGTGGCTCAGTGTGTGAAACAGATGGACGTCAGCTCTGATAGCACTGAAGATCACAGCGGCATTCTGGGACTGACTGCAGAAAGAGTCCAGAGACAAATGCCTCCTGAACAGGTGCTGCGTTCTTCACGTCACTGCTGCTCATGAAATCACAGGCTCTCTTGAGTATTATTTACACACCGCTATAATTTATATAAGTGTTTTGAATTAGCTTTTATTTTTAGACTTTCAGTTTATGTTTTAAGTAGTGGTATTATTATAATTGAACGCAGAACTGTGCTTTAATGGTCTGCTGATGCAGTGAAAGATATTTAAAGCGGATCTTCATGTTTGTCCTTCAGGAGCTGCTAGAGATGAAGCAGAGGTTGCCATCAGAACTCCTGCAGCATCTGAAGAAGAAGGCCGTCAGTGTCCTGACTTACTATCAGCCGGAGTGGGGTAAAGCTGAGCCATGGTTTGTTTAATGATGGGAGGTTTTCAGAGTTGTGATTCGATCTGTTCTCTCAGAGAATGAAAGCGAGGGTCTCAGGAGTGTGAAGCTTTCCAAACTTCCCGAACTGCTGGACGCTGAGCAAAAGAGAGCCAAGAGCCTTACAGAGAAGAACCGAGAGAACGAGACGTTACTGCAGCGGCAAACACACGCGCAGCTGTCTGTGAGTCCAGAGAAACCACACGCATGTCTGCAAGTCACCTGACAAACTCTGTTCAGATCTGTTAGTAATGTAGGCTGTGTCTGTCGAAATACAGAAGAAACAGAAGTGTGCAATTAATCACATTTCTAATTGTGAGTACAATTACGGATGCCACAATCATTCAAAGACGCAATTACAAAAAGAAAGTACACTTACATTATTCTGCATCCTTAAGATGTGTGTGTGTGTGTGTGTGTGTGTGTGTGTGTGT